AAGAGTCTCTAAGCATCTGGCAGCCATGCTCCCAAGTGCTGGTCTGTTTCTGCCCTCCCCAGGCAGGCAAATCCCCTTCCATGGGTTCCAAGAAACCAGCCACAGATCCCTGGTCAATTTACCCTCTGGATCTTACCCACAAATCACGCTGGGCCAATCCTTTAGAATCTATATCTAAAGGTTTATTATCACAAGAAAGAAAAGCCTGAGAGTAAGGTTGTTAAAGAATAGTACGTTACATGCACCGAATCTCCCAGTCCTCGATGCTTGCACATCCTATCATCAGGATGGGTCCACAGGTCTTCCGGGCTCTTCAATCCCTGCAGTGCTGCCTCTGGGATGAAGTGCTGAGCTGAGAACAAAATGGCATCGACCGAATGGCCTCTTTATACCTCCTCCCTGGCCTCTTCTTGTATGCAGCAAGTCACCTGGTCAGAGGCCAATCTCTATGTTCCCTGCTGGCTGCCCTCAGGTGACAAATCCCATTCTTTGGGTGTGCCCATAGCCTATTGAGAGCCATTGTTCCACAGGGCTTTGCTACTCAGCCTGTCCATAGCCATGCTTAACCACATTCAGAGAAATATTCAGCTTCCACACAGATTACAGATTCCTACCTACACACACAGACATTATATACTCACATAAATAGCGTACATAAGATCAACAAACAATAAGCTCCCATTCAATACCCCACATGGCTCCCTTTATATCAATTTCTGGGGCCAACACCCCCACCTAGGGGTGCAGCAGCGATCTGGCTGCTTCCCTCCAAGTCAGTAATGTGACAGCTTCTCATCAGTAGAACTCAAGGAAATGTATTCATTATCCCCATTTTACAGATGGGGAAACTGAGGCACAGAGAAGTGAAGAGACTTTCCCAAAGTCATTCAGCAGGCCAGTGGCAAAGGCAGGACTAGTCCCAGTCCAGTGGCATATACTAGACTACACAGTTGCTAGGTCATTCTTTAGCACACTTCCCCTGGCCTGTACACTCTTTTACAGTGCAATAGGAGTAATGAGGTTGTGTTTTGAAGGGTTTGAAGTGTGTAGCTGCTAACAGGGTGGGTGGGAGAAACCTGAGATAAAGCATCTTGACAGTTCCACAGTTCTTATGGTGGCTGAAAGTATGAGAGAAAACTGCTGAGCTTGACTTCTTCTCCACCCCTACCCCACCATTCCTCACAACATATAGCCCCTGATTCCTCCTTCAACAGTTCAGCTCTCCCTCCTCTTCCTTCACCATGGGGCCATTACTTAGTGCTGTAGAACCCTTTTATACATAAGATGCTGTTCTGTTCCCTCTCCAGATGGGTTAGACATCCCTGTGCTATCTCTGATCAATCTATTCTGCTATGAATGGCAGTGAAGTTACAGGGGCATGAGCAACTTCCCTGAATATGTATCTAGGGTCCTGGGCAAGATCATATCTGGGGAGCTAACCTGTCCCCCATTCACACCACAGCAGCTGCACTTTCTCACACTAGTTCAATCAAAGCTACACCTGCACCTCAAGCTGTAGACCTGCCCTCAGTGTTACTTGTTCACATAATTTTATCATATGTCTCAGGTTATTTTATGTGTTTCTTAAAGCCACAGCTCCTGGAGGCCTGTGTGTGATGGGGAGAGGTCAAAGAAGACCCCTTTCAGGGGGCTTCCCAGCATGCCAACAATGTCACTGCCACTTGCCTTCTTATTCCCTGGGGCTTCTCCATCCAGCCAGCTCCCCTGCTTTCCCCAGCCAAGGCACAGAGCTGAGATCCCTGCCTCTCCCTCCCCCCCACCTCCTCCAAGGAGCAGTACAGACACTGAACCTCTTCAGGTCCAAGGAAAATACTGTTTGGGTCCCAGATCCTGGGATTCCACTCCCCAAATGGGATAAAATCCCAAATGAATCCTTTAACAATGAAAGGGGGAATGTGCACACTGATTGCTCCCCCAGGTAACAATTGTTTACACTGGGCTTGACAGTAAATACAAGTGATTTTATTAAATACAAGCAATAGGATTTAAGTGGTTATAAGTGAGAACAGGCAGAGCAAAGTAGGTTACAAATTTAAAATAACAGAAAATGCTTTGCTAATTCTAACACTGAAACCCCAGTACAAACTTATTACAAACTCACCCTAAAATTGTTCTTATTCCAGCTAAGCCTTCAAACCAGGGAATTTCATCTCCTTCGGATCTCTCATTCACTTTCTTGAGAATGCCATGCCAGCCAAAGACCAAGAAATTGCCAGCTTCCTGTTGTTGTATAGACATCACCTTTGGGTGGGAATTCTGTTTCTACATTCCACCCTTACATGGAAAATCACAGCTGGTCAGACCCTACCAATGGGG